CCGGGATCGGGTTGCGGACCCGCCACAGCCAGCGCTTCATGTACGTCTGCCCAGCGCAGGACAGGTCGGGCCCCAGCAGGGTCTGAGGCGTGGGCCCGTAGGGAAAGCGCCAGAACAGCTCGGGGGCCATGGCCCTGCGGATCTGGGCGCTGTCCCAGCCAGGCGGCACAGTGGGCAGGGGCCCGGTGCGGGACCAGGTCAGCCTCGCGTGGTAGACCCTGCAGTGCTCCAGGGCCTGCGGGTGGCTGGCGGGCCCGGGCTGCGGGGACAGGCGCCTCTGGGCTGGCCGTGCGCCCCTGACCTTGGAGAGACATCGGAGCAGGTACCGGCTCAGGCAGTTACCCATGACAGCGGTGTGGCGGGCTGGTGGCTTCGAGTGCGCCTGGGGCTTGCCGATCGCCCGACAGCTGAGCTGAGGAGGACGCCGACGACCAAGAGCACAGAGGCTGGTGGCTGTTGGCTGCGGAGCGCGAGACCAGCGCAGGGGTTGCTGGGAGCTCGCGACCCGGGACCAACGTTCCCGCGCGAGCCAGGCACGCGCCCTGAGCACACGCGGCAGCTCGGCAGCTCGGGCGCGCGGCGGCGGGGAGCGCCCCGTGCTCTCGGGAGGACCGGGAAGCTCAAGCCTCTGTCCTTCCACGGCTGGGCCCGGACACTTGGCTGTGGGCCTAGCAGCTCCCGCTACTTTTGTGCCGGATTCTTTTTGTTTGTTTTTTTGAGGTAGAGTACGGTGGCATCACAGCTCACAGCAACCTCACACTCTTGGACTTAAGCGATTCTCCTTCCTCAGCCTCCCAAGTAGCTGGGACTACAGGTGCCCGCCACAACACCCAGCTATTTTTTGGTTGCAGTTGCCATTGTTTAGCAGGCCCCAGGCTGGGTGCATGTGGCCGGCGCCCTACCCACTGAGCACAGGTGCCGAACCGGCGCCTACCTTTAAAGGCAGAAAATAGAAGAACTAGGCGGCCTCTGTGGCTCAGTTAGTAGGGCGCCGGCTCCATATTGCGGAGGTGGCAGGTTCAAAACGGGCCCCAGCCAAAAGCTGCAAAAAATGAAAAGGAAATTCTACCAGGTCCCGAAAACTTAAGATACCAATGGACAGAAGGGTGCTTGCTGTCTTTCGTCCTTGTGAAAACGAACATAACATATTTGGATGCTGTTTTAAGAAAAAACAAAGAGGCTTGGCGCTCGTAGCACAGTGGTTATGGCGCCGGCCACATACACTGGGGCTGGTGGGTTTGAACCAACCCCGGCCTGCTAAACAGCAATGACAACTGCAACCAAAAAATAGCCCGATGTTGTGGAGGGCACCTGTAGTCCCAGCTACTGGGGAGGCTGAGGCAAGAGAATCACTTAAGCCCAAGAGTCTGAGGTTGCTGTGAGCTGTGACGCCATAGCACCCTGCCTAGGGCGACATAGCCAGACTCTATCTTAAAGAAAAGAAAAAGAAAAGAGTGAGTCAAATTTTTTAATTTGCAGTTGAAAAGCATAGAATTACAAAACAGAGAATCCAAAGACTGCTGGTGAGTTGATCATAGTGCTTATGTTTGGAGGTCTTATTAATTTGGTGGAAAAGAAACTGTTTTCCAGAACTTTTCTGCCAAGAATTTGTGCAAAGGCACCTATAGGATTGGCCCCAATACTTGGGTGTGTGTCTGCGGGTCAGAACTCGAGGCAGACAACAAAAATCAAAGTAAAATAAATAAAATAGCAGGCACCAGATTTTGTCTCGATCCGAGAGGTGGACAGTGGAATGGGCAGGACACTAAAAAGAACTTAATAAGAAAACACCAAAATCTTCTGGGGTTCAGAGAGGAGCCAAGCCTTCCTGAAGCCGGGGAAGTTGTCACCAATAGGTCACAGAGAATAAGATCCCTAATAGTCTCCACTATTTTTTTTTTTTTTGCATCCCTTAAATAAGGAATGGTTCCCAGCATATGATTTTGAAACAAAAGGAATTCCTATATAATTTTCTTCTTACTGAGACCTTTCTTCATAATGATAGGAATAACTTTTCAGTCGTAGCTAAGATGTCTCTTAAAGTGGTAATAGCAATAGAGTGAATGGGTAAACGCCATTTGGGATGATAGTCTTCTAATGTAATTTTTTTTTCCACTGTCTGCAGAATTTCTCATGTCCTACTTTGCAATGTAACCCAGAGGGTGTCATTCTGGTTTGTGGTTACAGACTCTTCAAAAAATCACACACTTCCTGCTGCTGAGGTACAATCAGCCATAAGGTAATCACCCTTTAACATGTCTTCTCCTGGCCAGTCAACTTGTTGACTAATTCGTTGTTTTCATAAGTATTGAAAAGTTTTCTCTCTGCTCTACAGATAATTTTTTTTTTTTACTGAGATAGAGTCTCACTATCTCACTCTTGGTAGAGTGTGGTTGCATCATAGTTCACAGCAACCACAAATTCTTAGGCTGAAGTGATTCTCTTGCCTCAGCCTCCCTAGTAGCTGGGACTACAGGCGCCCGCCACAATGCCCAGCTATTTTTTGTTTTGTTTTGTTTTGTTTTGTTTAGCAGGCGTGGGCCGGGTTTGAACCTACCAGCCTGGGAGCATGTGGCTAGTGCCCTAACCACTGAGCATGGTGCCCCCTACATGGAATTTCTTTATTAAAATGTCAAAGATTTCATTTTGTTAGTTTCTATTAGAGATAAGTTTAGATAAGTAGTTTGCATCCAGGGGCAATTTTACCTTCAAGGAGACACTGGAAATATGTGGAAACATTCTGTTGTCACAACTGGAGGGGGTAACAGTCCTATTGACATTGAATAGGCAGAAGTTAGAAATGTAGCTAAAGGCACATTGGCTCATGCCTATAGTCCTAGCCCTCTGGGAGGCCGAGGCAGGTGGACTGCCTGAGCTCATGAGTTCAAGACCAACCTGAGCAAGACCTTGTCTCTAAAAATAGCTGGCCATTCTGGCAGTCCCAGCTACTTGGGAGGTAGAGGCAAGAGAATCGCTTAAGCCCAGGAGTTTGAGGTTGCTGTGAGCTGACACCACAGCACTCTACTGAGGGCAAAGTGAAACTCTGTCTCAAAAAAAAAGGAAAGAAAGGTTGTTAAGCATCCCATTATGTACAGGATAGCACCCCTCAACAAATAATTATTTGACTTAAAATGTCAATCGTGTTATGGTTAAGAAAGCCTGCTTTAAATATTAGCTAAGGATCTTTAGTATTGTCTTCTTTTGGCATGAACGCCTTGTATTTCACTATAGTGTGATGGTTTGATGCCAGAATGTCTAGATTTTTAATTCTGACAACTATTGTATACAGACAAGTTGCTTACCCTCTTTTTTGCCTTTCTGTCATCATTTGTAAAATGTGAATAATTATGGTCCTCCTCTCTCAGAGTTACCAAGAAGATTCAATGAGTTAATACATTCAAAGAGTTTTGAGGGACAAGTCATACCTTTGATTTTTATTTTAAAACTGAGAAAAATATTCACATTTCTTGAGTTTCTAAGGATTTACCTTTTCCAATTAATGTATAATCTTTTTATTTTTAGAAACCTATACATTTATGGCTTTTTGTTCTTTTTTATTGAATGGTAACTATGTACATTAATGCACTTCTGGGGTACAGTATGGGGTTTTCACACACAACCTGAAACACTTCCATCAAACTGGTTAACATAGCCCTCATGTCATTTTCTTAGTTATTATTTTAAAACGTTCACATT